ATCGGTGCATGGCTATTCGGGTGCTAACAGATACTACCAGACCCCGCCAAGCCAGCGTCGTCTGAAAATATTTTCGGTGCATTCTCGTCAAACTCGTATGAGACCTTGGCCTTGGCTCTCTATATTGTAACTCTCAGGCTGACTTCTTCAACTGTAGGAACTCGGTGCCTAGTGATGGCCAAGCACCACCAAATGGAACTTTCAAGAGTAGCAGTCACGATGATTTACGCAAACCATTTGCTGCGGATAGTTGGAAAGGCGATTTTGGGTTTGGTTCATTCACATCAAGCACGGCAGGGGAGTTCAACAATCGTCCGAACAGCCGTGGACGAGCCTCGACAAGAGCGAGTCCTTCAAGAGCAGGCCAGCCGGGTCCATTCAGCCAGGATTCGTCCCGGTCAGCGTCCGTTTCGCAGCAACCGCCCACAACGTTTCCTAAGGCAAAGTTCTCTGTGGACGAGTGGGCTGCCAAACTCAAGGATGTACGGTGGACCATGCCGCAAAACGAGGAAGCCTCTCAGCAGGCGAATATTCAGCGCCAACGAAGTCCTAAGAAGCAGACCAAATCCGGGTTTAAGATGCGACCTACACCGCAACCTGCCAGTGTTGCGACAGAGGCGGAAGAGTCCCGGACGACTGTCGGTGGTAGCGCAAAGCAGGAGGCGACCGGTACAGGTGCGGAGGAAGTGGAAGCCATGGACCTTGATGATGATATCCCTGGCAGAAACATGGATGCAGCGTTCCAAGCAGACAAAGTATCCAAAGATCAAACCCCTCAGCCGTCTTCAGGTGTTGGCAGCAAAGACGCCGGTGCCAATTCTAAATCTCGCCTATTCAACCTGAATGACCTAGGCAGCACCGCGCCATTTACCAGCACAAATAGTGGTGGCATTGAGGATTTGCAGGATATCCATGCGACGCTACCCTTTGAGTCTCGCGCGAAGGTCCCAAGGACGTCGGCACGGGATGTTCGTCCCAGGCGGCTCATTTGCCCAAATCCACCAAAAAGACCCAGCCCACCGGAACTTGTTCCAATCAGCGCAGGGTCGCAGCAACTCGGACTGCCTCGAGGCGCATGGGACCGATATGTTGCGGAGATGGGTGCCTACATCCGAGAGTGGAACGCTTTCAATCGTCGACTTCTGCGTCACTTCAACGCACGCCAGGATGCGATGGAAACAGGAATGGCCCCCAACTGGATTGGTGCTGTTGGAGATTCCGCACGTATTAAGATCAACGAGCCGGGTGGCGAGGATGATGAAAAGGTGGTTCATGAAGACGACGACGATGCTGAGAGCGACGATGCTATGGTGGCTGGAAGCGCCAAAGCAGGATTCAGTGCTTATTTGCGTGCATTTGATGAGGATGAAAGAGTGCACAAACATTGGGAGGTCGCTCGCGAGAACCATCGCAAATGCATAATGGAGCTCGGCGAGATGCGCGAATGGATCTTGAATGGAGGAAAACTGATTTAGGCTGGGCAGATATACCCCTACGACTTTTCTTTCCTACATCGCATGGCATGGGTGTTGGCGGTTCGGCGTTGTGAATGGTTGGGAGTGTTCTACAGCTAGGTAGTCTCTTGTGTCAGTCATGTATTTTTAGAAGCTCTTCCATCACAAGTTAGAAAGGGGGTCCTCTAGGACCGAGCATGAGGAGTTGGATATGCTCAATCTACCTTCGAGGAAGTCTGATATCAATCTTGAATTCATTCCGAGCCCTAGCCCTGAGCCCCGAGCCCTTACTTCCGATATCGGCAACATCTGACATCCGCCACCTTCCCGATTCAGCCAAGTGCCCCTCGAACACTCCGGTAACAGTGTGACAGAGTGCTGGGCTCAGATTGGCTTGCCGATGAGCAGGTAAGCTGTATGGTATTGTACCAGACCCTGATTCGCTGCCTGCCGCTGAGTCACTCTGCGCAAGGAAAGAAAAAAGTGAGACTCATATATCGCCCGCGCCTCCGCGGTTCCCCTCCGTCCTTTTTTTCGGCTTTTGGATCTTTGACAGTCGCGAAGCCTTCGCTGCTGCTCCATTCACCTTCCCTGCAAACGGGTCGGGAATAATTTTACGTTCATCAGTCAATTAACATTTCCTCAATTTGCCTCTCGAAAAAGAGCCGATTCAATTCGTGCAATTCCGGTCTAAGACTACAGCTACACCCCGCCTCTTCATTGCAAGTACCGGAGCCGATCTTTAGACGAATACATACCATCGAAGCCATCTGGTCATTGTCAATTGATCAATTGAAATATAACATACCGCGGCAGTTGCACTAATAAGATACTCTCTGCCATAATGGGTATCACGATCGTTCTGGGTAGCCAGTGGGGTGATGAAGGTGGGGCTTGATGAACATTGTTGCGCTTGACATGGACGGCATGCTGATGGATGCTGTTGTCGGATAGGAAAGGGGAAGATCACAGATATGCTTTCGCAGCAGGCTACGCTCTGCTGTCGTGCTGCTGGCGGCCACAGTGAGTATAAGAGCTCTCCGCGGAGTTGGCAAACCTAACTTTTTTTTCCCTTTCGCCAGATGCGGGCCACACCATCGTCCATGACAACATCACTTACGACTTCCACATTCTTCCCTCTGGATTGGTGTCTCCCTCCTGCGTTAACCTCATCGGCGCTGGAACTGTCGTGCACGTTCCCAGCTTCTTCAAGGAGCTGGCCTCATTGGAGGAGAAGGGGCTGAAGGATGCCGGCAAGCGCATTTTCATCTCCGACCGCGCTCATGTCTGCTTCGATCTGCACTCTGTTGTTGATGGTCTGGAGGAGGCTAAGCTGGGTGGTCGCAAGGTCGGTACAACCGGTAAGGGTATTGGCCCTTGCTACAGTGACAAGGCTGCCCGTCGGGGTGTCCGTATTGGCGAGATTCTGGACGAGGCGGTCTTTGAGCGCAAGCTGCGGTCTCTGCACGCTGGATATACTGCGAGATTCGGTGAGCTGGAATATGATGTGGAGGAGGAGATTGGTCGATTCAAGGTATTTTAACTTGCTTTCCGGTAGGCAGATGGTTTGAAGCGTTTGATGATTGACTCCATGGAATAGGACTACCGGAAACGCTTGGTTCCCTACGTTGTCGACCAACTTGCCTTCTTCAAGCAGTACAAGGACTCGCCGAATACTCTCGTTGAGGGCGCCAACGCTCTCATGCTCGACCTGGACCACGGAACCTACCCCTACGTGACCTCCTCTTCCACCGGTCTGGGTGGTGCCGTCCAGGCTCTGTCTCTGAACCCTGCCAGCATCACCTCCGTCATTGGTGTGGTCAAGGCGTACACGACCCGTGTCGGCTCTGGTCCCTTCCCTAGCGAACAGTTGAACGAGTACGGCGACAAGCTGCAGTCTGTCGGCAGGGAATTCGGTGTCACCACCGGCCGCCGTCGTCGCTGCGGGTGGTTCGATCTCGTCCTCTGCCGCTACTCCCAGGCGATCAACCACTACACCGCCTTGAACCTGACCAAGCTGGACATCTTGGACGACTTTGACGAGATCAAGGTCGCAGTTGCCTACGTCCTCCCTGACGGGACCCGCCTGACCGACACCTACCCGGCCAACGCCGATGTCCTGGAGAAGGTCAAGGTCGAGTACGTCACTCTGCCCGGCTGGAAGAGTAACACAATGGGTGTCAAGAAGTACGAGGACCTTCCTGCCAATGCCCGCGCCTACATCGAGTACATTGAGCGGGAACTCGGCGGTGTACCTGTAAAATGGATCGGTACCGGGCCCGMCAGAGACCACATGATCTGCCGGGAGTAAATGCCTGAGCAGTCGAGCTGTCAACTGACGGTGCGGATCGACATGGTCTTGATCGTTGATGACGGAGGCCTACAAAACTAGAAGACTTATCTGTTTTTGCCCATGTTTGTGTATATGAATGGATAGACGAATCTGATGAATATTGCTTTATTCTATCTTCTTGCCATATGAATCATTTCTTCCGGAAGAATACGCTGGACCAAAAGGTGTCCGGACGATGTACTCTCATTCTAGGGGGTGTATATCACAGTCATGGTGGTATAATATTTTAACAAAGGATGATTCCACCTCCCAAAGAATCCAAGAAATACACCATGTTCTCCAATTGATTCACGCGTCGACATTTCCTCCTCAACTACCTTTCGGTATATGCGCTGATGACTTTGCCAGGGTTAAACTGGTCTTGACAGATTTCGTGCGCAACATTGGAACTCAATACGACCATTCACAGCACAAGATCAGTCTGTTCACCTGCTCCATTAGAGCTCATCTCTCATCTCTATCCAGAAGAAAATGAGTTTTTGTGGCTCGTTTGATTTGGGTGGAGAACAAGAGCTAGAAGAAGTCAGCTCATAGATAGCAGATATAGAGGTATAGTTGGTATACTGGTCGAGACTCACTCTCTGCCTCTTCAGCACAGTGGACTCGAAGTAAAATAGGTGAAGGGCAATGCGAAGCATCAATCGTGGGCTGTCATCGTGACGATTCCACTCTGTGGCGGAGAACAGTTAATTATCGCTGTTTCTGTATTCATTTGCGAACTTGGCTAGAGAAAAGACATAACATAATATATGAAGTCTCTAGCTCGAATCAGTTTGTCTGGATTAATCATCCAGCCACCACTCTACCGGTCCTGGAAGATCTATCCACTCATTTGGCCGGATATCAACTGAGTACTGTAGAGACCGGAAACAAGCACGATCAGTCGCTGTAAAGTATTCATGTGGTGGTTTTGCGAGGATCTTCTCTTTGGAAATTTTGCGTAGATCAAGCACCGCCATCATAAAGTCGTAGATGGCCTCCTTCGAGCACAACGACCACCATCGCCACGTATGATTCTTCATATACTGAGCTCTAGATGTCTCGGCAACATTGTAGCATGCCTACAGCTCTTGTTTCGGAAGATTTGGTATCGCATTAGGCCCAAAGCTCTTAATGTCATCGTGGCGCCAGCGCTTCTCCTCGATGGATGAGTTTGTCTCAGTCTCAGACTCCCATGCTGAATTGCCGTCATCCTAGGTGGCATAGATGCTGTCCTCAGTGATGCCAAGCTGCTCTGCAACCTGGTTGCCGGATCTGCTCCGCAGATCTCTATAGGGATGTTAGAATAGCTTCTTATAAATTTAGTCCATTCTCACCTTTTTCTCTCTTAAGGCCCCGAAGCACTTGGAATATCTCACCCGCTCATGGGGGGAAGTCCCGGTTGGCAGATACAGTTCTGCCGGGTACTTTAGTATATGGTACTCACCTTTCTCCCTCCTTTCCAAACAGCCTTGGCACTTCTTGTATCATAGTGATAGCCTTGAAGAAATGGTCGTATGTAGGCCATTCTACTACGTACTGTGTCTTCGTCTGGACTGCGAGTGCAGGTTCGGGACATGGCGCCGGTATTGGTTCCATCACGAGATCCTTTAGTTTCGAGTATGTCCCAGCGGCTCCAGTCAATCCTTGTCCCATCCGGAGATAGCAGTACTGCCCAAGGATGGTGTTGAATCCCGTCTTGAATGAGTGCTCAGTGGCTAATGGGACTGCCCAGTCTCCGTTTGCCGCGTCAACTTTGAAGAACACCTTCCGTACCCGCTTCGAGAGGTTGGCGAGGACCGGTTCAACGCGTCAGAAGCGGGCAATTGTTGCTTGCGAATGCCTCTATTCTATCATGGAACTCCCCTAAGGCAGCATCTGCCTCCTCGGACTGACGACGAATAACGCCTGGCTTGACGTTCTGATCTGACCCGTAAAAGGCTGGGCTCGCGCTGCGTGATAGTATCTCGAACCCTTTTGAATAAAAACTGTCGGGCTGGTTGGCGTCCGGCCAGGCTGGATGCCACATCGCTGAGTAAAGTCAAGAGGCCAATTGCTGTACTTCCTCTCCACGGTGAGGGATTTTTCGTGATTACCTTGAAAACCTGCATGTCTGAAAGCTTGACGTGTTTAGGGGGTATCAGTTGGTCTAATACGTAAGGCTCGATTGTATTCCATTGTCTGGGTTCTCTGGCTGTCCGTCTCCGTCAGACAGTAGCCATGGCTGAGGGGGGCAGCCGTTGACGTAGCAGTTCTCTCCATTGCAGACTCTTCCCTTGACTGTTCAGCTGAAGCTTGGGTTTAACAGTCTTTCCTGAGCTGCTCTTTGTCTTCTTCGTCTATTCCGCGGCCTTCGCTGCGGCTGTTTTTGGAGACAGAGGCCGAACTCTAATAAACTCAGGACGAGAAGCTCAAACTATGACAGTGCCTATTCTGCCACCAGAACCTTTCAACAGAAGTTGAGCATCGCTCTTCATGTCTTTGAAACTCTCACTATACCCCACTTCTAGTGCAATAGTCGGAAAGCGTCGGCCTGACACATATACAGCGCCATCACAAGTTTTCTAACTAGTATAGAGTTAGTAAACCGCCCATAAAACACTTAACGGGGCTATGGCTGGGCTTACGAGCCCCGAAATTTGCTCATAAACTCATTAACTGTCGCTTCGCCGTAGGGCTAAGGGATCAAGGCCTCTGAATGGGACCACTCGTCGAAGACAGAGCGGAACGATACGAGTGCCTAAGAGGACTTCGACTTCATGCAGGGAAGACCCGGATTCAGAGCCCCTCCGTACTTGAGTCTACGGAGAGTTGCACGAGTACCTACACCTGTTGTAAGCTTATCAGAACATATACTATGGGGAAATGAACTTACCGTAAGTGTCTTTCATTTAGTATGTCCAGGGAGTCTTTGGTCAAGGAAGTGATCTCTGTTGTAATCACACCAAATTCATCAAGTTTCTCCTCCATAGAGGAGAGAAACTCTTAACAGGCGGTCAGTGTCGCAGGGCCTTCCTCCCTAACGACGTTGAGGGTTCCTCGCCTCTATACCGCAGCTTGCGAGGGTACGGTATGAGTTGGAAAGATATAAACTCACTCCTGAGTCTCTGTGGATGGTAAACAGGAAGAGTATACCGTTAGCCCCTGAACCTGGTTCCAGATTGGTCCTACACCGACCTGATTGCGCATCTCCAGTGTTGGTAATCAGCTCCATGGTAAACCAGAGACTGTATACAGAGCATTTCGTACAGCTTCAATAGTACCGCATACTGCATCGCGGGAGTAACGAAGATCACAATTGGTTCCATCTGATTTCTTCAATAAGCATATGAGAGGGTTTGTCAGTAGTAGTTGGCAAAGTTTATGTCCTGGTAAGAGTCTTATATTTCGGCGCCTGGCAGGGAGATCAACAGTATGAAGTGAATATGTCCAAGTATCTATTCACTGTGTTGTCCATATGAGACAGTAAATATAGTATATCTCTCATGTTGTCTTACTTTTGTCTCCCAAGTGAATGCATCTAGCTTGTATCACTATGGCCATTTACCGAATGTGTGAATGAAGTATGAGGCGTAGTCTCGAGGAACGCACTGGCTGGCCACCTTCCTCTTGGACTCTCTCGAACAGGAGTATATGAACAAAACCAGGGCTTTTTGGTCATATGATTCATATTATTCATTATAAAACCAAATTACCTCTATAGTACAACTATACACAGAGAGTCCAAACGCCGTCTATAAACCTGAGTCATTAAACCAACTACGTAAAACATTAAGCGGGCTATGGCCGATTAAGCTGCTCTTTACGGTAGAACAGAAGGAAGCCAAAGCTGTATGCAGTTAGTATATAGCCCGTCAGGACATAATGAGACAGAGTCTTACCTGGCCAAAAGCTGGAAAAACAAGGCAATCCAGAACCATGCGTTAGCAATCTTATCCACCGACGTGCCGACATTCGGCGAGATACCGTCCGGCCCGAGTCTATTCGGTGCAAATCCGCGCGCGCAGATGGTAGCGATCGATCCCACGGCCTGCGCAGCTAGGAGGACGAAGCAGACATGCACTCTTGTCAGGGTCTGCAGGAGGATCATACCCAGACCAACCTGCTGGATCTCATCGAGGACGCCGAGCCAAAGCCACAGACATCTGGAGACGATGGCACCCGACGTCAGGCTCCCCGCCCAAGGGAGATAGTAGCCGATATTGGACGTTCCCCACCATGTTTGCGCCCAGCGCGGGGAGCCCAGACTGAGACCGAAGACGGGGAGGATCCAGCTGTGCTCCTTGGACAGCGCGCGGAAGACAAAGAGAATGAGGACCCAGAGGATGATGAAGAAGGCGACCACGAGGATGACGACCTCCCATGTCTTGGCGTGTTTGGAGGACCAGAGGAACGACCAGTTGCGGCCGAAGGCGGCGGCGAGGAACCAGTTCTGCACGATGACCATGAAGAAGAACCAGAGGACGATGCGGCGACGGAAGAGCGAAGTGTAGAAGTAGAGGATCCTACTTGGCGCTTGGCGGTAGTATTTGGGCAGGCCCAGGGCAAGGAGCACGCCGATGAAGAAGCATACCGCGGCAATCGGCATCACTACGGCAGTGAGCCTCCAGGTGTTCAATGCGAGGGTGGACACGCCTCCAATTTCCGTGGCGGTGACCTTGGAGCTCCAGTACCATAGTGCGACGGTGTACAGCTGTGAAATTCCCTGGATGAGACTGGCGCGGAACATCCAATCCTTGACGGGGACGGCGCCCTGGTCGCCGAAGTTGAGGGCGAAGAACAACGAACCGCTAGACGATGCCGCGGCGTAGACGCCTGCAGCTACATTTTGAGCCCATCCACGTCCGACTGCCGACAGTCCAAAGGGAGACACGCCAATTACAATAAACGCCAGGCAGTATATGAACCATGGGAGACTGAGCACGAACACCGCTGGCAGACGGGCGTACATGAACCACCATGCAATCGATGAGACGCAGTAGATCGCTGCGATCACATATAACTTGGTTGCTGTCTCGCCTACCTGGCCGACAAGCAGGGTAATTTGAGCGGAGTTGGTCGCGATGATCTGTCCAAGGCCTAGGAATAGAGCATAGACGGGCCAGTTTCCGATCCGTCGTCGCATGAACCGCTGGACGGCCATAGGGCGCCTGTACCCCAGCCGGGAAAGCCAGCGATCGATCTCATCGGAGTCGCTCGGGTCCGAACCGGCCGTGGCGGTCGAGAGGCGGTTATACTGCGTCTCATGGTCGAGCTGGTCCGGACTGGCCGAAGAAGAAATAGACTCCTTGGCGTGGTGTTTCAGCTGCGCATCGTTGTACATATTATAAAACTTGCGCTCGCTCTTCATCAAGTATGTCTCGATGCAGCAGTCCGTCATCGAGTTCTTCTTGTCCAAGTTGTTCAGCAGTTGCTCGAACCGCCGGGTGAAGTGGCCCATGCTATCCGTAAAGGTCGGATCAACCTTTTGCAACTCGAAGACTTGCCGATTGTGGTCGCCCATCACCGACGGCAGAGACAGGACGGAGACATTGCGGGAATGAACGAACGGCATGCCCTCGCCGGAATTAAGTGCCAATTGGAATGGGTATTGAGGCATATCTGAAGGCGTCCTCGGCGCTGGAGACGAAGCCCGCGAGACGAAGTACGGTGAGCCTGGCATGGAATGGTACGGCGGCGTAATGCTGTTCCCATTTCCGTTTCCGTTTCCTACGGATTCGCCGGTGTCTTGATATCCAAGAGCGTGACTGACTGCCCTCATAGCCTCATCAGTGGAGATATAGTCCACCCGGTGCGAATTGGAGTCATCCTCATCGGCTTCGGCGTCGGCGTCGGTGGCCTCCTCATCCAGCTGGTTCTCGGCCACCTGACTGTCGCGCAGTGACTTTTTGACTAGACGATTTCTGCCCTGGCCAGGTCCAGCTCGTCGACCCAGGGAGAGTTTACGACCCAGACTGCTCCTATTTCCGTCGTCCGCCTGCAGTTCTTGAAGCCGCGACTCGGCGTTGAGCATCACTCTTGAAGGCGGCGTCTCCAGACCGTCTGGGACAGACTGAGCCAATCCAGGCAGACTCACCGTGGAGTCCCGCATGTTCTGCATCTCCCAGTAGATCTGCGACTCCGGCATGGGACCAGCGACAGTGTTCTTGTTCTTTGTATGATGGATTTGTATGGCCGTCTGTTGCAAGGTTTCGAGCTTCTGAATCCATTCCAACACAGGGAATCGTTGCTTGGCGGAGTTCGTGCGCATTTCTTCCCGAGTCTCCTGGTCCGAATCCAGTGCGGATTTGATGGCAGTCCTCAACTGGTGCAACAGATGGCGGGTCGCGTCGGATTCCACCGTGTACCACCAACCGGGCATTTGACCTAGACCTCCAATGCGAGAGCCAATTCCCAGCGCACCTTTACGACCGAACTCGACGGCAACCAGCCCAAATGGCTCGTCCCGAGACGGAATCAGAGCGAAGTTAGCGCCGGAAAACACGTACGGGGGCAAGATGGTAAACTCTGGCTTGGACAACACGCGACCTGGGAACATGGCCATGATGCGCTCCAGCTTGATAGCAGCCAGCTTGCCATACAGGTCAATAATGGGCCCAACGCAGATCAGCTGGACGTGAGGTCTGGCTGACAGTATTGCTGGCATAACGTCGGCA